GAGCCATGTTGGTTTCAGGACAACCCTACCGCATGCGAGGCTCGGACTAATCAGTCCCAGGGGTACACGAACAATAGAAGCTATAAGGGTTTGGGGTTTGGGGTTTAGGAGTTTAGGGTTTAGGAGCTTAGGGTTTAGGAGTTTAGGGTTTAGGGGTTAGGGTTTAGGAGTTTAGGGTTTAGGAGTTTAGGGTTTAGGGTTTAGGATTTAGGAGCGTATGGTTTAGGGTTTAGAGTTCCAGGAAATCCCACAAAGCCCTTTTAAGAACAACCTGAAACCTGGATACGTTTTAGGGTTCAGGGTTTAGGGTAAAAGATTTCTTTTCCAAAATGAAGCCCAGAGGCCCAGAGGTCGTTCAGGGTTTAGGGTTTAGGGTTTAGGGTTCAGGGTTCAGGGTCTAGGGTTTAGGGGGATGTCAGGACTTTGGCAGAGACCAGCGGACTTAGTGTTTAGGTTGGTTTCTCGACAAATATGTCTAATATTGATATGCAATGGTCCTAAACCCCAAACCCTAAACCCTTAACCCTATAAACCCTAAAATGCCTATAAGCCCTATAAATTATAAACCCTAAACCCTAAACCTTCACAGCACCTGGGCTATGGATTGCTAGGTTTCAGGGGCTCTCGAGACTCCCAAACCCTTGAATTACGGAATCTCAGCAACTAGACTCTGTAGGGCTTAGGGTTTGGAGTTTAGGGTTTAGGGTTCGCAGCTGAAGCCGAATTATGATTTTTCAAGGTCTGTTAAACTAAGGGGTTTTGGAGTTTTCTGGGGTGCTTTTGGAGGGGACTTCATGAAGTGGGTTAGGGTTGGAGTTCCCTTTTTAGTGGACGAGGTTTGGTCTATACGATGCCCTGAACTCAAACCTTCCCCACCCTGAACCCAATAATAATAATCCGCCTTGAACCCTAATGAAGATGATTGCTACAGTACTGTCTTCAGACCCTCAGAGCGCCCCCACAAACCCCAAACCTGAAAACCACCAGCACCCCCCAACTACCCCTTATTTGAGCCTAAGCCCCCACTATCAAACCAAACGACCATAAGGCCTCTAGTAAAGGGTATTTGAGGGGTGTCCCTAGACCCGAAACCCTAAACCCTAAACCCTAAACCCTAAACCCTAAACCCAAAACCCCAAAGCCCTGTACCCTAAACCTCAGGCACGCCTGGGGTGTGAAGTTCAACTTGAGAGCCTGCTTGAACCAGGACCTGAATCAGGCTGCATGCCCCTGCATAGTACATACCCAGGCATTGAAGGACCTGTATTATAGTAAGCCCTTTGCCCTACGTAGAGGCCCAGGGGACTTAGTAAGTAGATTTTAAGTAGGGTTATAATTGGGGTAACTCCATTTAGGGCACTTGTAACTCCAGGGCTTTAGGATTTAGGAAGCCAGGCTTTAGGGTGGTCTAGCGTTCCCCAAACCCTAAACCTTAAACCCTGTAAGGTTTTGAGGTGCAGGATCATTTGGGAGGCAAGGTGTGGGGTCACTGGAGTCCAGGATGATTTCGGAATGTAGGGCTTCGGGTTTTCAAGCATTGGGCTGGTAACGTTGTTGTTGAAGGATTTACATAAGTAAGGGTTTAGGGCTTAGGGTTTAGGGAAGAGGGTTGCGAGGGTTCGGGGGGCTAGGATCGTAGGAGTTCGACATATTTTGGATTCAAGGCTCAGCGATCCAGGTTTTCCGGCTTCTGGGTTCCATGCTTGGTGTTTAGTGTTTAGAGATTAAAGCCTTAGTCACGAAAATGGGGTTTGGCCATATTTTTTCGATTGGGAATATTTCTAAGTACGTATTCAGAATGCTACTGGTGTATCAGGGTCAATGGGACTTGACGCTACACTTCAAGCACTTGCGTCTGTAGGACAAATTCCACTCTTCGCAGCGTGGGCACTGCTACCCTCCCTTTTAAACCCTAAACCCCAAACCTTGAACCCTAACCCGGCAAGTGCCGCGTCGCGAGCTCGGCGAGCCTCTGTTTTGGCCTCGCGCCGCTCGTCGCGCTTCAGCTGGTGCACCGCGAAGGCAGCGTCGATGGCTTCATCTTCAAGGATCTGCCTGTCCTTGATCCTTCAGTTCGACTTCAGAAACAGCAACCCATGGCTCTCAGAAACAGTAACCCATGGCTCTCAGTTCGTCGATGTCCCACTAGGCCCACCGCTCCTGCAGAGCGCTCCAAGGCACGATGTTCTCGTCCCGAACTGCGGCGAGATCTTCAATCTAGTCTCCTTTCCCGGGCACGTGGACCGCTCGTGGGGAATGTGCTCGCCATTGCGGCCAGTCCCTGGGCACCTCTCCATGTCAATGTGCCTTCTGCATGCCTCCTTCTCATGGGGCTGCCGTGGTTGATGTTCACTGAACCCTAAGCTCGGCCCTAAACGCTCAAGCCCCAAACCCAAAGACCCTCAACCCCACACCCAGGATACCCACCATGGCACTATGCCTGAGTTAGACCCAAACTCGACACTTTCTGAGCCTGCACACAACAAACCCAAACCCAACAACCTTTGAAGCCCCAAACCTTCAAATCGTCCAAACCCCATTGAACCTTAAACTTCTAGCCTCCTCAAGTTTCAGACTTCTAACCGACCACCAACCTTAAGCCCCCACAACGCCCTGAACCCTTTAAGCCCAAAATCCCCAGAGCCGTTGAGCCTTACATCCCAGAACCCCCAACGCTCAATCAACCCTAAAGCCTAAACCCAACTCTACAGCCCGAAACGCAAAGGCCCTTCTCATGCCCACAAGTCGCCCTGAACCTACCAAAGCCTGCAAGTCTAAATCATGAAACCAATAAAGCCCCCTTGGCCACATGAAAGGCGCGGCCAACAGCCAATAACATTCAATAACATATCCACATACATATACATTTACATATATATATATATATACACAAATGCATACATACATACATACGTACATACATACATACATACATACATCCATACATACACATACATACACATACATACACATACATACACATACATACACATACATACACATACATACACATACATACACATACATACACATACATACACATAATTTAGAATAGTTTTGTTCCCCAATTTAGGGTCAAGTCGGGTTGCGTCGGGACGCAAGTTTCGCTACATTCAAAGGTCGGGTCGGGTAGTTAAAACCTCTTAAATTCAGCTCCGGTTATGGTCTAGATTTGCTGATAGAAGGGAAAGTACGTGTTGCCGATGATGACGACGATGACCATCTGGAGCAGCACCTGCCGCAAACACTTTACTTCCGGCAAAAAGGAGAGACAAGACCCTATTTCATTGGATTAGGCTGGTTTTGGCTTGTTTTGGCAATCACTGAAAACTAAGTCTGAAAGCATTTGGCAACTAACACTGGGTTGTTAGAAGGTAGGACAGAATTTGGTTCGTAGCTTCTGACTCTGCAACTAGATTTAATCGGGTTGTCATCCTAACATCCTATCTACTAGTGGAGCAGGAAACCGGAAAATTCTTTGGGTTCCGGAACTGTTGACTCATTCCAAGTCCATGAAAAACTGGAGGCGCGGGAAACCAACCATTGCGATTCCGGGTAGTGGCTGGGTCAAACTGATGGCACCGGGGATCGAGCCCATGTGCTTTGTACAGTTGGTCAAGAGGTCATCTGCTTGACCATTAGGCCATGGGTTTCTTAAAACAAGTTGCGTTCTAATACAATGTCCAACGCTGTGATTACTGCTGCTACTCGACTACGGCAGTGCGAGGACTACGACGATGGCTCTGACTACGACTACTTCTGCTACTACTACTACTACTACTACGACGACGACTACTACTACTACCACTTCTTCTTCTTCCGGACGCAGCAAGAAAGTCCTCGCTAGGCGATCAGAGTATTTAGGCGGGCTCTCCAGCCTGGCGCATAGCGCACCTCGGTTATTACGAGGTCCTGACAAAAGGCAGTGCCCCCCGGCCCGAGGGCCCCAAGAGCGAGGACACTGCTGTGCTGTGCCAAAAACACTCTCTCTATGCCATGCATTTCTGAGTCCACAACACGAAGCTCGCTGCAAGTTTGAGGACTATTAAGACTATCCTATCCGAAGCACAGCACAAGCCTCTTAAACCCAAATTAGGGACTGGGGCAAAGCACGTACAGGAATGCGTAAGTGTTGTGAGTGTGTGCTTTATACTGGAGGTCACTGAGGCTGGAAGCTGGTTGATGATCGTCGGTGATAACAGAAGGCCCTCATTTTATAAGATACATCTGTAATGTCCTGTGTGGCGTGCTGGTCCTTCATGCAGCAACACTGCTGAGCAAGTATACTGTGCGAAATCCTGCTCAAGAGCGTTGGGCTGATCCATGCCGGAAACGGAAATGGGCACAAATATGCGTGGGCTCGGAATGACGTGCACAAATGACTTCGATGCATCCGGGCTGTCTATCCTAAAGCGGTTGGATTGGATCAGCAAGGTGGAGGGCTGACTGGTCAGCCCTTGCAGCCCGGATTGATGCTGCCATGCATCGACAAGCTGCTGCACTTCTACGGCTCCGTCGGGATTTGCTGGAAGGGAATTCAGGGGAGCTGGTATCCAAAGAGGCCAAACTGTACCCGAGTCTATAACCCTATATGCAGCATCCAACGCTTGTCGTGACTCCCAACGGCTGTGAACAATGCCGGGCTGAAGCTGTGGACCCAGAAAAACCAAGTACTCCACTACGTCATGCTGCTGCGCTGGCAGGCGCCAACCTGTATTAACGGTGCGCCACTGTATCATCTGCCAGAGGTGCAGAATGCTGCGGGAGGTTTTAATCCGGGTCCACAGGCGGCTCAAGGCGGGGCCTAAAAGACCTAAGCCTTCACTGGCCTCCGGCGCCACCGCTGCTTGACCTGGGATTAAGAAGGTATTGGTCCAAAGAAGGGACAGAAGCGCTGCATTGCTTTCGCAGTAGTTACTGCTATTGCCCAAGCATAAGCGCCGGACATGCTTTCGGTCATCTTCTGCACATTGTTGGCTAAGGCGCTCCTCCCTAGCTTGTCCGGCCGCATCGACATTGCCATTGCACGGCATGCTCCGGAGTGGGCTAGGCGGGAAAAATATTTCCACGCCTGGTCCGCTTCGGGGGTTCTCAACCCCACTTCCAGGACCATTGGGAGGATATCTCCCTGGAGGTCCTTCTCCAATAGAGTACTGTGAGAGGTAGCAGTACCAGGGTTTGAAGCTCTTGGAGCATCGTCTTGACCTCCTGTGCCTCCATTGGGTCCCTGTCGGGCTTGATCTCCAGCTTCTTCTCCTTGGCGTTGTACTCGAGATATGGCACCTTGCCCTCGGCACTCAGGATCAGAAGCTCCTTGGCATTCTCGATGCCATCTTCCGACTGATCCACAGTCTCCATTCTGTTGAACCAAATCCAACAGATGTCGCAGCATGGCTACCCGCAGTGGCAGCGTGAGGGTCTCCGGTTGCTGTTCCTTGGCCTGTCGCTAAGTCTCGTTCGCCTTGTAGAGGTCTGGCAGAACCGAGAGCACCCCCTTGGTCTGTAGGAACATCACAAACCCCGTCTCGCTGCGACAGATACTCTGCTGGCCCTCGTGGCGAAGGACTAGGCGCGACAAGGCCAGGCAGAGCTCCTTGAGGTCCCAGCTGTCCTGCTGGCCCTGGCCTTGCTTCCTCGTTCAAAGCTTCCGAAAGAAATGGCCCAGTTGCTTCCGATATTGTGTGCGTCAATGTGTGACCCCACATGACGGTCAAAGCAAAGTTGTATACTGCTCCACGAACCCGTGGCTCCGTGAAAACGCATGAATCGGTTCACATACTTGGACACGTACCAATACTCATATGCGCGTTTGATCACGCCATAGAACTTGCCATGAGAGTATCCGCCAGGGGCCACGCTGCAAGTCCCTTCATTGACCTTTCGTTTTCCACTGGATTGACAATGCTTGCACACTCTTTCAAGTAGCTCGTGGCACGCATCGAAACTGTAGTCTTTTCTGCTGAGGACATCCCGCGCATGATGCTCTACAGATTGCTCGGGACCGTCTTTGGTGGGAACACAAAGCTGCTCTTGACATTAATAGAAGACCTCACCCGTGGTGATATCCGCATCACCACTTCGAGGAAGAATTTGCGCAACGAGTGCCTCATCCTCGAGTCCTGGTTCGGTGGAACCTCCGTCCTCCGATGCGCTGCCCGAATCATCTGGGCTCACATGTTGTAGGGATCCTTGAGCGCCGCGAGTCGTGCCATCAAGTCCTCCACATCCTGCTTCACTTCCGGTGGCACATCCTGTTGCGTCGCCTCCTTACCGTCGTCCTCCTCACCGCTTGTAGTAGCCGCTCTTCGGCGCAATCTTCGGGGCAACGGTCTGCTTCTTCGGAGTGGCCTTCGGAGAGATGGGCTGTTGATTGCCCCACGGCGCGCGGACGCCGTTCAGCTCCTTCGCCACATCCGTGAGTTCCGACCATTGGCTCTTCCAGCAAGACGTCACTGAGGCATTGTCCTCCGGAATCGGCACCGATGGGGAAGCCTCCGGATCGAAGGGCAAATCCTTCTCGAATACCTCCGCGGCATACATGCTGAGGCTGACCAGATCCGGACTGCACGCATCCCATCCCTGAGCCTCCACCTCCTTCTGGGACCACGCGAGGTACGAGTGAGGAGTGAGGAACCTCCGAAAAGAGCTTGCCCTTGTGGCGTCCGAAGGTCACAACGCAGTTCGCCCTCCCGTACGTTGTGGAGTCCCGAATGATCAACAACAGCTGCCCTTTGGTGGGTTTCGTCGGATACGCCACCCCCAGCTTGTCGCATTCGGCAATCAACTGATCGCGGGTCACGCTCCCCATCCCTTTGGGGGTTGTGGTCTGGGCGGGTCTTGTCCGCAATGAGCTGTCGCACTTCCCCCATAATCCACGATGGGTGGGTCACGATGTTCAACTTCGATGCCTCTGCGAACAGCTGAGTCTTGTTCATCTGCCACAAAGAGGTCGGGCGATTGTCCTTCGAGGAGCTCGCCATCACCAGTTGCACTTAAGGCACCGGTCTCACTTGACTCACCGGCGTCGGTGAAGCTACGGGATGCCCTAGAAAAGGTCGTTCTACCGAACCAAAGCACAGGATGCGGAGGCTGAGGATCACTTCGCCACGCATCATGTAGAGGACACAACTCCCGCATCGCACTACACGATACCGCTGCAGTAGACCTGACTGCTGACTTCACCAATCATACCAAGGAGCTCATCCTTGACCTGCTTCTGGCCCGTGTTCCACATGGTTGGATCAAAGAGTCCTCGGCAGGGCACGACGTGGACCCTAATAAAGGAAGTTGCTACCTGGATGACCATTATCCATAGTAGCAAGCTGTATCTCGCCAACCCCGGGATGCTTGAACTTAGCAGAGTTTTCATCCACATCATACACCATACCCAGGAGGCTCAACACCCTCCGACTGAGTAAAAGAGGCACTTCTCCGTCCACAACAGACGCTCTGACCGCGAAGAGTTTGCCACCGAGCTCGATAAGGACCGTAGCTGAGAACGTTGGCCTGAAAAGCTTTGAAGCGCCGAAGCGGAAATCATCCGAGGATGCAATGAACTGCGTCTCAACCCCGGCGTTCTTAGCAAGCTTGAGGTAGGATTCCAACCGTCACAGATTTACTGCACGCGGTATCCGTAATGGCGAAGAGTTTGCTGCCTCCTGAATCCCCAACTTCGTAGGCAACCTGGACCACCGTGGCGATCTCATCACGCTCACATGGGCCTGTTGACCAGTGGAGCTCCTGTTCCGATTGCTGTGCTGCTGATTCTCGGGTTTATTGAGGGGGCAAGTGGAATCTTTGCGCCAATGACCTCGACGACCGCATCCTGCACAGTATGACCGTGCCTTGGCATTAGCCAATCTGTCCTCGATAGCTTGCTTCTGGGAATCATCTGGGGTACCCTTCTTGAGCTCCTTACGGACGTTGGGATCCACACCCCTAGCCTTTGAGATTTCCCGCACTTGGCCTTTGCTGTTTCTTGCGCAACATAAGCTTCATGCATGGCTACGGAATCCTCCTCAGAGAGGCATACATCATCACCCACGGCATCGAGCTCATTGTCGCCATCATCATCCTCATCGACACCTGCAAGGAATGAAGCCTTGAAACCCTTGAGCTCCTTGTTGTTGTCCGGAAGGCTAGGTTTCCGAGGCTGCCATGGTGGGCGAAGCGACTTCTCGTGGAGAACTGCAGCCCTCTGAAGCTTTGCGACATTGTACTCATTCCCGACCGATGCAAGAAGAGATAGTTCCTCTAAGCTGCTCAAACTCAATGAACTCAAGTAAGCCCAAGCCTTTGCGACCTCGGGTAACTTGCAGTCAATCTCCAAGAGCCGCGAGTACGATCTGTCAAAAGACGAATTGAACTCCCGAATGGTTTGACCTGACTGCCTCTTCAAGCGTTTGAAGAATGTAGTCAAAGCATCAGCTATTGCCCACGTCAACCTCAAGGTACCGCTCTTGAATCCAAGCCCGAAACACGTTCAGGCCTTCCGGCCCCGAAAGCTATTCCACCTGAAGTTCCTCGCTTTCTACCCACGTGCGCCCGTTCAGGTTCTGGTAAACGAGCAATGCTTGTTGATGCACTGGGGTACGTGTAACACGGCACCAAGCTGCCACTTGACGAAGATACGACCTGGCCCCGGTGCCTGTTCTTCTCCTGTCCCTTCAGCATCATATGAAGGCACCGCCATTTTTCACCGAACGATCCCTTCCACACAGAAGAGTCCTGTGCTGAGCCCCTGTCTCCAGTGGAATCAGGAGCCTGAGTCGACGAAACCAAGTCCAAGCACCCGAAGAATTCCAGGAGGCCCTTCCATTGTAACCCGGAGCCACGCCCTCATTACCCGCTGACTCGTGCGCAGGATGTTCCTCGGAGCGAGCCCCTGCACCACTATCGTCATCTGCTACACCACCTGCACCAGCGCTGTTGGAAAAATCGGGCCAGTGATGACGATAGCCGTATGGCCGACGCCATCCCCACTGCCAACGATCTCCCTGACCCCAGTTAGAGTCCCAACCCCAATTGGCGTTCGCATGATCGTCAGCTGCTTCGTTCGCACTGTCTGCTGGAGGCATGCTGTAATAAGAAGTAGGTTCAGCCCCAGCAGAAAGAGACGCCATCAGGCGCACAGGACATTGAAGACCGTCAAGGACACAGCCCTAGCAGAGACAGGCCAAACACAGACACAGAAAGTACCACAGACACACCGAAGACACAAAGAGGAACCCCGAACGCGGCCCGGGCTCCGCTACCAGTGACAAACTACAAGACGAAGAGAACAGCCCGGGACCCTGGCCTAACCACACTGAAGCTTAGAACCAGCCCCCCCTGAACCTAAAGAGACCGGCCCTCACAGGGGGCAGGCAGCCTTTTCACTGCGAACCACAAAGCCTCCATCCTTGCAGCAGGGGCTAGATCTGTCATCCTTGCGACAGGGGCCATGCTTGCTGTCGGTTTCACACTTAACCCCCAACCCTGAACCCTAAACCCTGAGCCCTTAACAGACCCTGAAGCCTTGCGCACTCACTCACTGCCTGGCTGCCTCTGAGCCCCAACCCGCCTTCCAACCTCCGAGACATCCCCAAACTCCCTTAAGCCTTGCGCACTCACTCACTGCCTGGCTGCCTCTGAGCCCCAAGCCGCCTTGCAACCTCCGAAGAAGCCCTGTACAACCGAAATCCCTGAAGCCTGGCGCATTCACTGCCTGACTGCCTCGGAGCCCCAGCCCGCCTTCCAACCTCCCAAACAGCCGAAAACCGCGAACCCTTAAACCCTTAAACCTAAACCCTCGTACAATGCCTTCATAGGACCCGCAATGCCCAACCAGACGCTTATAGGAACCCTTTCGGGGCTGCGAGGGTTCCGTTAAAGGCCCCGTGAAGTACCCCAAACCTTCAACCCTGAACCCTGAAGAGCTTTGAGGCCTGTGAGCATAGTTCTCTGCCACGCGAGAGGGAAAAGAACCCTAAAAACCTTACCCTGCTAACAGACAACTGTCCAAGCGACCTGTGTTCCTGCCTGGCTGGCAGCTGCCGGGTCTGCTGCAGCTGCAGTCTGCAGCAAGGGGCTTTTGGTGTTAGATTAGGGTAATTAGGATCGGGGTTGGGGTTTGGGGTTTAGGGTTTAGAATGGTTCAGGTAGGGTTTGGTTAGAGCTGGGCTCCCGCCGAAACCCTAAACTCTAAACCGTCGCTTGGTGTTCAGGTTCGGGTCTTCGGTATCTCAATGTCGATGCTCCGTCGCAGTGCACTAAAACCGCTACTCGTGCACAAAAGCCTCTGCAAAACCTGAAAACCAACACCCGAAACCCTGAAGTCTGAATTAAACGCTAAACCCTCGAACCTGAGTGGAAACCCTACCAAGGCAGGGTGAGAGAATTTGAAAAGTATTTGGGCGTTCGGTTCCAGGTTCGGGCACGAGGCTGCTTAGGATTCTCGGGTGTCCGGTGTGCCGAGTTGGCGATTGCATGGAGGCTTGAGTCCACAGGGGCTTCAAGGTCACCGACACACTCACACCGAAACTCCAAACCCACTTTGACCCTGCAACACAAACACCCAAACTCCGAGAAATCCCCAGAAAATCCACGAAGCAACTGGAGATCAGCCCTTCCTCAATCGCGTTTTTGTGCAGCTCAGCTCTGCGAGCTAGTGAAGTGGGACTGCACCCAGCGAAGCATGGCACAATCGCGTTCGTCAGGAGTGATCCTCTTTGCACGCATCGCCAGTTTGGCCCACGCAACCAACATCTCAGTCGCGTGTGTCTCGGCAGCAAACTGCAGTAGGCGCAAGGCTTCGGAGGATATGCGTTTCTCTTCGCCTCCTGCTTTGTCCATGACATCTCGGACGATGCGTGCGAACGCAAGTCTTGAAGTTAAAGTCTCCGGTGCATCACAAGCTTGTAAGCGTCTCACTGCCTTCCAGACGCATTGCGAGCAGCGGGACGGCGAAAGACCTGCTCAGCGGGGGCAGCGGGGGTTTCGGCCAGACGTCGCACGCGCCTGCGCTTGCTTGTTGCTTGCAAGTACTCTTGTCCCAACTCAGCCGGCGCCCCTGTCGATCGACCGGTTCGCCCAGTGCTGCTGGCCGCAGTGCCATCTGCTGCAGCCACTTCTTCATCCACTGCTTCTGCCTCGCCTCTGAGAGCAGGTGGAAGAAGAGCATCAATTGTCATGTCGTCTTTGCTGATGCGACGAGCAACTTGGGCGTCACTCAATGCACAAGCCTGTACGAAAAAATCGTCGTCTTCTTCCCGTCCGAAAACAAGAGGGCTGCTGATCATGAAGTTCTCGGCCGAAATCCATCCTTGATGCTCACCATCAAGCACATGGCGTCTGAGGCCGCCGCCCAACACCATATGGTTTTCGCGGTTTTCTCTGTGCAGAGACTCAAAACCACCAAAAAGAGCCTATTTCAATGAATTAGGCTTGTTTTCGCGGTTTTCACCTTGCAGACACTCAAAACCACCCAAAAAGAGCCTATTTCAATGAATTAGGCTTGTTTTTGCGTTCTCCTTCTTCGACAAACTCAAAACCACCAAAAAGTGCCTATTTCAATGACTTAAGCTTGTTTTCGCGGCTTTCTCTTTGGAGAGACTCAAAGATACCAAAAAGAGCTTATTTCAATGAATTAAGCTTGTTTTCGCGATTTCCTCCTTCGACAAACTCAAAACCACCCAAAAAGGCCCTATTTCAATGAATTAGGCTTGTTTTTGCTTTCCTAGTCCATGCCACTTTAGGAAGCTCAACGCGCATCTTGGGACTCGGCCTGGGAATTTGGGTTTTTTTGGTTCCGGGTTTGCTACACTTAAACTTGAAACAGTGCTCTCGAACCCTCGACTGTCCTCTCCATCATCTGACCAGCTGCAGCTTCTCGAGGTGCATCTCTTTGAACATTCCTGGGCCTTCTTCCTAATTTTAGGCTGCAGAGGGCAGCATACGAAATAAGAGTCAGGTCGGCAGCTTAATTTCAAGTCAGGTCGGG